CAATGTGTTTGCCCAGGTTCGGGCGAGAGCGTGGATGAGGGGGGGGGGGGATGGGTCAGATAGTGTCCCGACGTCAAAGAGTCGGCATCCAACGGGATGACGAGAGAAAAAAACAACGGCAACAGAGCCCGCACGCCGTACATCGGAAACAAAGAAGAAAAATGGGGAGACATCGACATTGCGGTACACATCTAGAATTGAGAAAACGCCCGCAACACACGTGTGCAAGCGAGAGCATTATTATCTTGCATCGAGGAGCCCGTTCCGACCTCTATATAATCCAGGCCGACAAAAACACACTCCCGGCGGTGTCAAAAGCATATGGCACACAGCAACAATTAAACGATACACAAAAGCAAAGCACCCTCCTTTCGCGAAAGCAAAAAAACTTCACCTCAAGGTTTGCTAACGAGATCGATATTTCAGACTACGGGCCAACAAGAAGAGAGCGGTAGCGCAAAACGGTTCGACAACGCGGCTTTCGGAAAGCTATCGACAAGACGGTTCCCAAGCGCTATTACCCCAACAGCAGTGCCGGCCGCAGCAGCTAACGCTTGGTTGTATTTCATCCAAATAGCGCTGACATCGACCGGGTAAATGTAATTTTCGTCCCTCAAGAACAAACAACCCGAGCCAACGGTCTAGCCTCACTGGGCCGCCTTCGCGTGAAATCAAGTTCATGAGGGAAATAGAACAGGGAGGGGGGTACGCAGGCCCGATCGCTAACCCTAAACCCCAACCCAACTGCTGCCCCGAGTACATGCTTTGTCCAACATTGTTGCTTTTAATCGAAAAAAACTGCGAAGGGTACTGCTGTACTGGCCTAACTTCTCCCCCCTCCCTTCTCTCTCTCTCTCTCGCCTGCGAGCACTCGTTGCCGATCCAGAAGTGGACGGTCTGCTCGACGCGGCCAGGAGAGTTCGTGGTGGATAGCAGGATGTAGCAGTCCCCCTCGTGGAACTTACCATCAGCCTGTTGCATTCAACAAAGAAGAGAGAGGAAAGACGGGGGGATGATTCAGACTCTGTGGTTGCATTCATTCCAACAACAAGAACAAAATGGAGAGAGAAAAGAGAGGGGATGATTCAGCAGTAGCGGACTCTGTCGTTGCAATCATTCCAATAGGCAACATCAACGAGATAGAGAGAGTGGAGAGACGGGGATGATTCAGCATAGAGTAGCACGGACTGTCGTTGTATTCCAACGAGCAACAAAAAAGAGGGAGAAAGGACCGGTCATGATTCAGCCGAGGGACTGCTGTCGTTGCATTCATTAACCAACCAACAACCAAATTGCCGTAAGAATGTGAGTCATAGCAATAGCACCTCCCCGTGCGGTCGTTCTGTGAACATTTTCGCCATGTCATTTTCATATACTGTGCGCTG